TTCGTATACTGTTCACCTCTTAAGTTAATGTTCGAATTCTTAACTAAACTACAAAAATAGAAACAAAAAGTTCAAAAACTATTTATAAAATAAAAAATTCAAAGCTGGCATTTCAAGTATCCATTTTTATTCTATTAGAATAAAATATTGGATTACAAGATATAATTAAATGGAGAATAGAAAAAAATGAAGGGAACAGAGAACTCTAGAAGGGAATATTCATTTTCTTAATCTTCGAGACCAAAAAAATATTCCAAATTCCTTTTCTGGTTCTTCGAAATAATAAAATAATTGATGATTGATGATTTCGTCTGTCATACCAATTAATTTATAGTTTAAATTTTAAGAACCTATATATATATATTTATATATATAGAATTTACAAGTTAAGCAGTTTTGAGATTTAATCGATGATTCTCGTCAACTGTTTCAACGGTTCAAAATTGCCAAATATATAATAGAAAAAATGTTTAATATCGTCTTTTGCCTTGGGTTTTTCTCTGCAGCTATGCATTTTTAGGGAACAGTTTGCGCATAGCCGTTGTTGCTCCCTTACTCCGATACCTCTTTGCGAAGCCATCTTGATTACATGCTTCCTTTTCTAAAGCCAAGACCACATCAATTGAGGGTTGGAACTATTATCACAAAGTCAAAAAGGCGAAGGGACAGACCACGAACAAGCATTGTTATTTAGATATTTTGCCCTTAAATGTAGCATCAAATTTTCTACTAAAGTATCAAAACCATTTTAGCTGTCGGAGAGTAATTTGTTTTACCTATTTATTTGACAAGACAAAAAGTGCTTATGATATTCATTTATCAAAATTTAATCGATGGCAGTAGTAATATATCAAACCAAACCTACTATGTCCAATTATATAGTGAATACACAACCAACCAACCGACTTCAATAAAGAACCACATAGGTCGGCCTTCCAAACTCAGAAAACCACAACCACAAACCACACCATAAAACCCTAAACAGCAAAGCCAAGTCGGTTGATATAAAGCGCTTCACTCAAAAGCATCGTCATCCTCATCAGGTAGAGGTTGTGCAGCAGCTTGTGCCAACTCTGCTTCGTGCCTAAAACACAAAAGTAGTCATTAGTGAATGTCTGAACTACTTGACTTAGACTTGCTTCAAATATTCTTACGAGTCGGTTGGGTAAACCCGACTATATTAAAGAAAACTTACACTATATTAGTCGGAAATTATTCTCTCTATATATTTTATTATTTAAATTATTCTACCTAGATATTAGTCCAAGGTCAACCTAGAGTAATTCCTATGGATCGTCATTTCCCTTTCTAAGCTAGAAGATGGTAAGCACTATGGACTTGGAAGCCATGTCAGAACACACCCAAAACTCACATCAATAACCTAACTATATTGGCCAGCAAGATTCTAAGTGCAGGTGTAACGGAGGCACAGGTTTAAAAATATTTATCAGGTAATCGCGGTAACTTACTGTGCTTGTTCCGCCAAGTTAATTTCGACTTCAGGAGGAGCAAGGGCAGGTGATTCGACGAAGTGGAGCTCCGTATTCCTGCACGTTCCGATAAAAGACGAATTTGTTTGTGAAAGAGTCAGCCGATGAGACTAATATGAAACTGATGGAAAGACCAACCAATACTATGCCAAACTAACAATAAGAACAACTGAACATACCCAGCAAGCTTTCTAGCAAGATACAAGAAAGGCTTCTCGAAGTTGTAATTACTCTTTGCAGAGATTTCGTAGTACTGGAGATTTTTCTTCCTGTGGAAGGTCACCTGCTTTGCTTTAACCTGTCTGTTTTTCACATCGACCTTGTTTCCACACAACACGATGGGTATGTTCTCACAAACCCTGGTAGGTACAGAGCAACGCCAAATTTATAACCAGCACAACACAATAGACGAATGTTGATTTATTTTTTCTTTTCTGTTTCGAATTTTCATTTGAGAAGTTCTTTTTATTTTATATTTTTAACTTTGTTTTCATGCACTAATTATTTTCCTTCATTTTATACATCAAAAGTTAAACAATTGTACATATAGATAGCAACAAATCTCATTCTGTTAGTAACTTTCTTTTTTCCCAAGAGGCCACTAGTGGGGAACCTCTTAAAAATGTCCTTGTAAGAAACAAAAATTTCAAACTAACATAAAAAGCCAGAGTTTTGAAGCGTTTCAGAGCCTTTGGGTTAGAAACACAATACCTGCAGAGATCTCGGTGCCATGTTGGGACGTTTTTGTACGTTAAACGAGCAGTGACATCAAACATGATGATGGCACACTGTCCATGAATACTGAATTCGAAAAGAAAAAATGCACAAAGCAAGTAAGAATTAATATAAATGTAGGACAGACATTGAAAATGAATCAATTAATCAAAGTCACAGCGCCCATCAAATTCTAAGAGAACTGAGGATAATTTGAAAACTACATTGTATCTATGTTCGAATGTATTGCAACAGTAAACAATAGATTCAACATTTCAGTCTGCGATAAAAAATATTAAAAATACCATATGAAAAGGTTGATAAGATAAGAAATACTTTTGTTCTCCAGAGCTTGTGAGCATGCAAAGAGAAGTTAAAGCTGGACGCATAGTATCATAGTAAAACAATGTCTTCGCCACAATAGTTCAGTAACGGACTTGCAATATTTATACAAAATTTTAGAAGATGATCGCTTAAAACAAATCAATTCAAACCTAAAAGTGTTCATCAAACACTTGATTAATAAAGAACAAATGTAATTTTCTATAATATTTTTCCTCGTGTTCGTGTAACAAAATGAATAAAATTAGAAAAGAAATCGATTACATGATCTAAAGTATCAAAGAGCTAAGACTAAGTTATAAAGCATGCTTTCTATACAGAAGAGAAGATAGATGCTTAAGACTTCTGTACTAGTAAACCAGGTTGAACACAGCACAAATGAACAAAATACACGGAAGAACACCGCTTCAATAATATATACCAGCATATTCAGAGTAAATCATTGCCGTGATCAAAACACATTTGAAATTACACATGAACACTTACTAGTAACCATCTCTAAGTCCACCAAACTTCTCCTGACCAGCGGTGTCCCAGCAGTAAAACCTTATCTTTCCATAGTTCGTAAAGAAGTCCAGTGGATGAACTTCAACTCCGATTGTCGCTATACATAATCAAACCAGGACAAATATTAGTAGTGCTTCAACCTTACAAATATCATTTATTAAACGACGAGCAATAATCAACTACATAATTCATTCTTACGTTCATATTTCTTCTCGAACTCTCCAGTTATATGACGTTTAACAAAGGTTGTCTTCCCTGGATCAGAACACACTCCTCCGTTAGAGGTTAATAACATCATTGCGATAAACAAAAATTGTAAAAAGAGTAAGGCATAGATCTAACGATCTCTAATCACACAAAACACATGAAACATTGAAACGCCTTCCAACAGAAGCCTAGTCCAGTAACCTGTTTTGGCAACATCTCCGATCGAATTCATACGCTACGAACGGAGAAATAATACAAATTCTATTCCACTAAAGAAGACTGGATTCAGTAAAACCTGAGGAGCAGCATCATATAGTTCTAGTTCCTATAGCTATGCATGCAAAGTATCATGGCAAATTGAGCATAAAAAGACATCAAGAAAACGAAATAGAAAAATCTATCTCCATACCTGTTCCACCGTCTCCGACTATTACAAGCTTGAAGCTAGGGTAATCTACGGTGGCCTGACTCGGCAGCGCCTGAACGAAGGAATGAAACCAAAACTAGGTAGAAGCATCGAAAATGTCGAATACTAGACGGAAAGAGAAAGCAGAGAAAAGAAATCTTACCATTGAGAATGAGTATCTGCACCTGAGAATGAAGGAATGAAGAGAACTGCGTAGAAATTTAGATGAACAGAGGTCGGCAATGGAAAGCAGAACGCAAGCACAGTGTAAACGACGGTCGTGGGAGGCCTTTTATACCCCGCGTGAAGGGAAGGGGTTCGACTTTTATTCGACGCGATTTTCTCCACCCTTGGATTGAACTCCCGCTTCAAAAGTCCGCTTGAATTTCAGCCCTACACGTGGCGACGATATTGTTGACGCGTGGAAAGCTGTATTATTTGGGCCTCGGACTGGGCCTGGGCAGCCACCCGCCAAAATTGAGTCTGGGCCAAGTAACTTGGGCTTTGAATTTTAACTTTTTCCCCCATTTTTAAACCCATCGTGCAAGCTCCCGAATTAATGAAACAAGAATTTTTCATCCTCAACTCTATCGATCTCTCGACTATTGAGAGATCCCACATCAGTTGTAAAGAAGAATTTTTATAAAGGTGTGGAAACCTCTCCCTAGCTAACGTGTTTTATAACCTTGAAGGGAAAGCCCAAAAATGATAATATCTACGAGCGGTAGGCTTGGACTGTTACAAATGATATTAGATTGGTGGTATGTCAGAGAGGAGGCTGAGCCTCGAAAGAGGGTGGACACGAGATGGTGTGTCAGTAAGAACGCTAGACCTCAAAGAAGGTAGATTGGGAGGTCTCACATTGATTGGAGAGGGTGAGGAATACAATATTTGCTAGTGGTGGGCTTGGACGCATGGTAAAACCTTGAGCGAAAGCCCGAAAGGCTGAATTGGGGGTCCTACATCAATTGGGGAAGGGAACATAGTGAGGACGCCGAATGGGGTAGATTGTGAAATCTCACATAAGTTAGATGAGGGTAAACTGAAGCCAGTAACGTAAAACCCAAATATGACAATATTTGTTACCGACCGTCTTAAACGGTTACAACCATTTTTAACACATTATTTTTATTTTAATGGATGATTTTAATGTCACAAAAAGACAAAACCTAATAATTATAAATTTTAATTTTAATTTTTATAGAAAAGAGCTTTTCAAAGGAATATTTATTATAATTTTATTAAAAAAATTTGTTTAAAATGTTATTTTGTAATTAATAAAAGGAAAGGAAAAAAAAAACAATGAAAAATGGAAATTGTAATTCATTAAAAAAGTAAGAGAAAAATCGATTAAACTCGATTTTTTAGCACATCACAATTACAGAAAAATGGTCCCCCCTTAAAATCACACTATTATGTAGAAAAGCCCTATCCGCATAGAAAATTATTAATTATATATCGTATATAAATATATATATATATATATATATATATATATATATTTATAAATTATTATTTTCTTCCTCGAACGCTCAACAATTTCACCTTATCGAGCACCGGCCCACACAGCGACGAGAAATCATCGCTTCGCATGGTGTAGAATGTGCTGAGGAACATAATACGTGTTCTTGTCGACTCCGCCACGAATTTCAGCGCCGCCGGTTTCGATCCGCCGTTGCCTTTTGACTGGTACGGCACTTTCAGAGTGTTTTTACCGGCGAACGCTTCGACGACCATGGATCCTTCGCACGAGTTGCTTGCATCGCCGACGACAAACGAGAGGATGTATGTTCTCCCTGGAACCGTACGGACGACCTGAGCTATGGCGCTCTCTTTTCCGGCGACGAGCTCGACGGCGCGCTTCCCGCTGGGGACGGAGAAGTGATCGGAATCGATGTATTTAACGGCCTTGAGAGACTCCACCATCCAGCCGGGGATCGGAGAGTGGTCGTCTTCGATGTTGGGTGGGACCAAAACTCCCGACGATGCGTTGGGGAACACGTATGGACCTATTTCGAAATCGCCGTTCTTCACCAGATTATCTGTGGATTGCAAAACTCAGATATTACTTGCCCAAAATTTTAAACTCTAAAAACGGAGCACGACTCTCCACAATATATGATATTGTCGACTTTCAACATAAGCTCTCATAGCTTTGCTTTGTACTCTCAAAAGCAACCGACCATACCATAAAATATGAGGACAAAAAAGGATGATATGAACAGAACAATCAATGAACACTGCCCACATGCTTGCACAGTTAATGGATTCAAGCAACTACTTTATTAGTTATAACAATAAATAAATAAACTTGTTTTTTTATTATTTATTTTCAATTTTTAATTTGGTCGCTAGTAGGTAAATAAAGCAAATAAAGGATAAGTAGAACTTTATCTTATAAACTTAATTTTCAACCTTTAATTTTGTATTTAAAATGGGTTAATGTAATAAAAATAATCATAAACTTAACTTTTACCTCAAAAATATTATTATAATTTAAAACATTTCAATATTATCCTCAAAATCTTTTTAAAAACAATAAATTAATAGAAATCATTAATAATTTATATCTTTAAACTTTTAATATTTTACTAATATCTTTAAATTTTTATAAAAAATAACAAAATATCTTTAATTTAAAAAAAAAAAATTTAAAATATCCCACTGGAATAATTAAGAATTTTAAAACTATATTTTTTTTAAAGTTTTAAGAGTATTAATATTAGGGTATTTTTGTAAAATGATAATTTTTTTTGAATATAATTAAAAATTTAAAGATCTATTATTTTAAAAATTGAAATATCAAGACATTTTTCATACAAAATATTAATAATTTATATATATACTTCATGTTTAATGGTAATTTTAAACTTTTTAAATATAAGAAATTATTAAAATTTGAAAACATAATTATTTTTTAAATAATGTGCAAAGATGATTATTTTATTAATTTAGTTTTAAAAATATTATAAACTTCTCGGAATTAATTTATTATATACGTTTCTTTTTTTATATAATTAAAATGAATTATATTTTAAAACTCACCATTGGAGGCCTTGGGAGGGTAGAGAGTCTTAATGGCAATGGCGTCGATGAGGGGACCACAAGCCGGGTCTTCCTCCTCGCCAGGGTTATGGATCAGAATAACCACCTCGTCCGCCGTGGCTTGGAAGGCCCAAGCGTACAGGTCCCACCCATTGCTGTTGTAAAGGGTTTGCATCGGCAGAACCCCCCAGTCCGGCGCGACGGAGATGTTCAGCCGCTCCTCTTGAGCGCAGGTACGGGCGGCGCTGAACGTTATGGAATAGTAAACTCCTTTAACCACTTTGATCTTCTGTTTGATCGACGCCTCGTTCCCTAGCCGGACGGCGAACGCCCCCTCCGGCACCACCAGCAACATGTCGCCTTGTTTCTGACCGGATTTTATGTACTCAACGAACCCTGAAATTTCCCACGCCGGTATCGCAAACTGCCCTTTCACCACCGTGCCGTTCATTTCCGACGCCTTTGGTCCCCTCTCAAAATCGCCATTCGGCAAATACCCTTCAAATAAAAAAAATAATAATAAAAAATCATTTTTATTACTTTTTTACCCAATTTTAATTTTTTTTTAATTTTTTTAATTTTCTTTTTAAATAAAATATATATACTTTTAACATTGCCCATCAGCGTATAAGGCGCCAGCGGAGCAGTGGGGCCCACGTCATTACTCAATCTGAGCCGTCCAAAGAATTCTACTTTTAGATATTTTGCTATCACGTGACCAACTGGACTCTCAGTACTGCTGGACTGGGCGTTATTAATTTATATTAAAAAATATATATATTGTAAATTCGAATTTATTTATTTATTTTTTATTATTTTATAAATAGAACCGATGGCTCATCGGCCGGAAGGAAGGGAGGAATGTAAATTGAAGGAGAAGCAATGCAATATTCCGGCGAGTGTAGTGTTCGGAGAGTAAGGGCTTACCGTCGACGAGGGCGAGAGCGGGATGGAAGGCAGCGGCGGAGAGAAGCACCGAGAAGAAGATGACGGCGGCGGTCTGCATTGTGAATGTGTTTGTTGGGAGAGAGATAGGGAGGAGAGATAGCTGAGGGCGGAGTGGAGGAGGAGAGGGAGGTTATATGGAAGGAAGGGTACAAGGAAGCCCTTATGATTGGGGGATAATTACGGAATTTGCCATTGAGAATAACTGAAATCTGAATCTGAGGAATATGTCGTTTTCACTTTTCGTTTCGCTAAATAATAAAAAATTACAAATTAAAAAATAAAAAATAAAAGTGTTGGTGTTATTTGATGGGATGGAAAAGGGCAAATGCTGTTATCAACCGTTTTTCTTTAATAATTACTTCTAAATTTAAATATTTTAATATAATTATAAAAAAAACGCAAAAATTAAACCAAATAAAATTTACATTATTTTTATATAAAATTATTGAATAGTTAAAGATACAATATGACTTTTAATTTTTTTATTTAATATTTTAAATATATATATATATTTGAATTATTAGTCAAATTAAAATGACATTGGAATAATAAAAGCGAGTTTTTATATTTTATATTTTATATTTTCTTATTTTAATTTTTGTTATGAAAATTAAGCTTTTAAAACAATATTTCACATATACAAATGGATGCTTAAGTTAGAGGAAGAAAAGTGTAACAAACTATACTTTACAGAGTGGAGTTTAAGTCGAGTTCCCTTTATTTGGTAAAAATGACGTATTTTTAGCATCATTTACCAAATTTTGATAAATTTAACTTATTCTCTTAAAAAAATTAATACCTAAATTAAATTTTTAAAAGTTTGACCTTAGAAAATAACATATTATTATTATAGAATTCACTCTAATTCAACTTTCTTTCGATTAGATGCATTAAAAAACCAGGAAAAAAAATAGTAAAAAAATTCTAACTCTGATTTAGATCTTAATATTGTAATTTGATATGAATTTATCTCTCGTTATCATCCTGTAAATATAGCAAAAAATCATAGAAAAAAATGTTAATTATATTTATAATCGTCTCCTTTAGCACAGTTTCATCAAATTTTATTTTAAGGTGACGATTTATATAAATGGTCAGAACGTGTAATCATTTACCGTGTTGTAAATATACTTTAAGTCGACTATTATTACATCATGCGAAATAAAAAGAGATTTAAGAAAAAATATCTGGAAAAAAAAATTATAAAATAAATATGGAATTTAGTTGGAAAATTTAATCATCGAAGAGTTGTATATACGATCTCTACAACTGTATCAGTTTTAAAAAAATGAAGCATTAGATTTGAAGTGGAGAGCAGCCCATGTGCATTAATCGAGGAATAATTGCATATTTTCAATTAAATTATCCATAGAGAATAAAGGATCAGGGTTCTTAAACCGAAAGGGGTCTAATACCATGAAAATATTTGCTGAAACCACTCCACTAAATAGCGGTGAGAGTTCTCTCATCTATAATCATTTACATAATAGATAAAGATGGTAAATTATAAATAATATAGAAAGAACGATAAAAAAATAATAATAATAAATGAATATAATATATTTGTCTAAGACAAATAAAGTAATCAAACACAAATATCTAATAAACTGTCAACTATTTTTTTTTATCTGATTTTTAATTTTTTTAAAGAATACATTTATTAAAAAGAGATTTTCACTCTCACATATTTTGTTCTTATAGTAAATGCATGGATTTTTAAAATCCGTTTAATTCATAATAACATGATAATACAATAAATTTAATTTACTTTAAAAAAATATAATATACAACCTGGGTTCATTTATTTTTATTCATATATATAAATTTACCAGTTAAAAAATATATGATCGATTAACTATTATTTTAAACTTAAACAAAAGTTCTTTTAATTATTTTTTTATAATAAAATATTTAAATCAACTAAAAATTAAATTTATATAAGAAGAAGTCATTATTTTTAAAGATTAATAATGGAAGAATTTTATTTTAATATTTAATAAAGTAGACGAAAAAAATAGTTATGGATTTAAAACATTATTTAAAAAATATAAAAATGATTAAAACATAATATTAAGCTGAATTTGAAAACTAATGAAAATGCACGCACCTCGGGAGATGGATTTATCCGCAAGAAAAATGGCGAGGGAAGAAGAAGGTGAGATCTGAACCGGAGGTTAAAGAGAAGCCAAGGAACATAGGCACGAGGAGTGGTGGGGCCCAGAAGTGACAGAATCCCATGAGCCTGAGCGCACCATAAGTTCGTGGCTGCTTCCTACTGGGCCTTCCCTGCAAGTACACGTGGGCCTCTTCATTTAGTTGCACAATTTACCTTCTCGAAGTGGGCCGGGTCGGGTTTTACCTATCCACGTCACACTCCTCCAACCCTAAATTTGAATTAATTAACTTTATAGATTTATTAAATATAAAATTTAGTTAATAGAATTGTTAAATAATTTTTACCTTAAATATAATCTTGAAAATAATTCAATGGATAAATGAAATTGAAGGTAAATATCCATTTTTACCATAAACTTTTAATTTTAATTTATAGAAATAAAAATCCAATTGAGAACTAAATTGAAATTAATGTTATTTTTTAGTTCTCAATTTCACAAATTTAGAAGAAAATAAAATAATAATAATAAAATAAAAAATTGTGGATAAGAGAGTAAAAAAAATTGTCTTTTTGAGAGAATAATGGGGAGAAGATTCAAGAGCAATAGGTTATGGGCATTGCATGGTCACCAAAGTACAAAACGGTGAATCAGATTGTCGTTTTCATGTCTTCTCTATCCCATCACTATTTAAAAATAAAAAATAAAATTATCATTGGATTATTACAAATTATATATATATATATATATATAATTTTGAAAATATTATAATTTATTTGGAAGGTTGGTATTTTTCGACGTGTGAGAAATATCCAAATTCGATGATTCCAGCTCGTATGATCGACAACCATCACTAAAAAATGGTTTCGTTCTCGACCTATTTTTATTCGGTCGACGTTAGGATAATGACAACGTTTCGTTTGTGTTCTTGGGTAGCTTCGAAAAGCTATTTTCTCTCTTCACTATCTTAATATTTGCTTAGAAAACAGTACTGAAACTTGAATTTAAACGGAAAAAAACATACAGCGTTTTACATACGATTCAAAATCGAAATCCTAATTTAAAAACCCTAATTGAGTCGTTTGAAGCAAACACAGAAAAAACTAAGTCACGATATTAATTAATGTTCAAATTGGATGACTCCAACGTAAAAAAAAAATGGATTCGCTCTCAGCCAAGTTTTATAGTAACCCACTCTCCGATGACCAATAAATTAAATACGTCAACAGAGAGAAATGGAAAATTAAAATATTAATATTAATTATATTAGAGAAAAAATCACAAAAAATGGAAATCGTTTACAACTACATTTTGTTATTTTATTTTATTTTTAAAATAACTAAATCAATTAACCATTATTATAAAAAAATAAAATATAATTAAAATAAAAAAGAATTAATTCTAATGTACGTTTACTGTGGATTTGGTATCCCCACACATGCATGCATTTATTTATTTCAAAATCGAGTACAAATGTCCTTCTCTCACCACCGACTATTTTATTTTTATATTTTTATTTTTCGAAAAACAATATTATTATATTTTTAATATATAAAAAAAGTATTTATTAAAGGCAATGACAAGAAGGGAGAGGGTGGGCAGGTTCAGGGATCCCAATAATGGCGGCTGTCAGGTGAGGAGCGGAACTATTGGGCCTATGGGCCCAAAGTCGGTGGGGGCCTCGAAAATCATTTGACGTTTTCGGGATAGATCTGAACAGGCTGAGTTGGGCCCATTAAGGCCCTTTTATGACTTGCAAGTTATAAGCCGACCGACGTGATTTCGTTGGTTAGATCTAGCGGTGATGCGACTACCCACGTGTCCCTGTCCGCATTAATTAAGGTTGTCCCACGATAAGATGTTAGGCCTACTTGGAAAATCCTCTCTCGTATATTACAGTATTAAAACGTTATCTTATTAATTTTTTTAATATATAATATCATATAAATAAAGTACCTTTGTTAAATTTAAAAAATGTGTTTATTTTTTTATCCATGGAAAATGTAGTTTGGTAGAATGAACACATCAAGCTCAACATGACAAGTGCACTATTGTGCTCGAGTTAGGTGAGATAGCTAGGTAGAGATAACAGTACAGACAACAACTCATTTTAGGTATGATATTTACCTTGGTGCATAGACGAGAAGCTTAGTATTGCGTGGTTTCGATTTTGTTTTTAATTATTTATTATATTAGCTAATTAGATAGGTGCTTAAATATGCATATTTCGAGGATAGAAACTAACAAAATTCTAGTCTTAGGGTTGACACGTGGAAGAAAGATGCATTTCTCTAACATTGTCGTGTTAGTTTTGTAAGAACTATACGTTAAGTGACATTCAAGTAGTTATTATTCTTAATCTAAATATTTTTCTCACGTCTCGAGCTACTAGCTCGAACTCTAACTTAGATAAAAAAAAAAGTGATAAATTAGGTTAAAAAGTGAACCAAATAAGATCGGATATAGGCACTACAAGACGATGTCTCCTTAGAGATCCAACTTGACCTCGAGGAACTCGACCCTAGATCAACCTTGGCTTCTTGTTGAGGTCAAGGAGGTGGATTCGAAATTTGCTTTGGTGTTAGAGATTGGTGGATAAGAAGGAAATTTAGGTATGACATTATCCTTAATCTCTGTGGCTTTGCTTTGTGCATACTAATTCGAGCCAATTCTTGTGGGTGAGAATTCATTCTTTTTGAATGATAGTAAAAATAATAATAATAAATAAGTAATAATTATATTAAGTGGTCCTAATATTTAGTTTCTTATTTACATTCCAACCATAAACATAGCAATAATGTTTCTTTGAATTATAAATAAAAAAACCATAAGATGAATATTTAAATCGTGACATTCTTGACTTTATAAATTCTTCTGACATTTGATTTAATATTATTAAATAAATTATACCCATGTTTTATTATTCAATTGCCTCCTAATCTTGAATTTATTTTCTAATTTGTTATTAATATATATATATATATATATATATATATATATTTTAATTTTTATGTTTGATT